AAAAAAAAAAAAAAAAAAAAAAAAAAAAAAATAAATAAATGAAAAAGAAGAGAAGCAGTTTAATGAATTTAAGATTTAATCGAACGAATGTTTGATGTGAATATGAGATATATTTAGGAGGAATGTGTGTTTAAAGAAAATATTATGTGTACGTGATCTCATAAATATTTATAAATATTAAATATGCAAAAATATAATTAATATTAGATTTATAAATGATCAGAAAGAACATCTTTGATATTTTTTATGAATTCATTGAAAAATTCTAGAAATACACTAAAGATGGGATTTTATTTGAACGCATAGACAAATATATAATAGTTTCGTAATAATAAATAATTACAAAAATTATTATTATTATTATTATTATATATAAGAAATATTCACACAACATCGAAAAATTTGCATCGCATTTTAAATTTGCTAATGAAATTTATTTATTTATTTATTTTTTTTTAAATATACAATAGTAAAAAAAAAATATTTTTTTTTTACGATCGTTTAAAGTAAAGATAAATTTTTTTAAAAATAAGAAAATAAATATTTGCTATAAATTTAATTGCAAAGTTTCCTTGCTAATCGTTAAAGTCATCATCATATGTATGAGATATTAATATTAATAATAATAATAATAATAATAATAATATATACATGTTTCTATAATGTTGTGTATAACACAACAATTTAATATATTCTTGTGAAAGGATAATAAAATATTAGTCGATAAAAATTAGGAGAATAAAAAAAATATATATATAGATATATAATTGAACGGCTTTTAAAATCGTGTATATAAATATTTAAATGCAATTGTTTAGTATAGAATGATAAATAATAAGAATAATGTTGACTGAATTCTAGGGACAATAATTTGCACCAAGCACTTTTTTGATCTGCACCATAAAGAAACTAATAGTTTTTAAAACGAATATACTTTATAATAATACTATATTGTTTGTTATAAATTTAGGGCATAAATTAAACCTAGATTTTTTCTAAGTATATATTTAAAAAAAAAAAAAAATAAAATAAAATAATAAAAAGAAGAATATGAAAAATAGTATTGTTGGTTGCTATAGAACATTTGTTATTTTTTCGCTAATATTTATATATATATATATTATTTTTAATTTTATTGTTTAATTTAAAAAAAATTTTTTACAATCTTTGAAACAATGTTATTAGATTGAAATTTTTCGAGTAAAATTAAAGCTTCTTTTTGAATAATATTTTTTATTCAATACTAATTTGAACAATGAGGAATTGGTTGACAATAATAAATAAAATATTTGACAATAATGATGCTCCTTAGTATCCAGACAACGTTTAATATTAAATTAAGAAAATAATAATAATAATAATAATAATAATAATAATAATAATAATAATAATAACCGACAATACTGTGTGAACAGACAATAAATAATTTTAGGAATGTTCTCAAATGGACAATAAATTAACATTTAAGATTGCTAATAAATAATATTAAATATAATAAGATTTGCATGTGATCAGCAAGTAGTCATTATTATTATTATTGCTATAATAGTATTAATAATAATATAATGATAATAATTATAATAATATTAATAATAATAAAATATATTCGTTATAACTATTAGTATAAATGCATTCTCTACTTGCATCGGACAAATATAACGCTTGTTGTTAATTATAGAAGAAGAAGAAGAAAAAAAAAATATAAAACTTAAAAAATTAGGAAAGCTTTTTTTCTAATCTGACATGAAATTAAATCAAAATGTTTTCTCCATACTTTTGTGTGGATTAAGTTTAAACATTAGAAATGTTACTTGCTTTATATTATAAATCGTGTTATTTATTATTTAACAAACATTTTTCTTATAAACTGTAATTTATTAGAAAATTTCAATTTTTTTTTTTATTATATTCATAAATATATGGTATAGAGTAAATAATAAATAAATAAAATAATAAAATACATATTGGATAATTTTTAAGGATATATTTAATTAGATAATATCTAAAAAAAAAAAAAAATAATAATAATAATAATAATAATTATATGACAATATTACGATAAATGTTACTACGAATACTATTATAATGAAATACGTTGATGAAAAAAAGAAGTAGATTATTTATATATATTAAAAAAAAAAAAAAAATTCATCCGAAGATCGAAGGTGGTCAAGAGTTGATGTATCTTCCACTCCTTTTTTTTTTTTTTTTTTTTTTTTTTTTTTTTTTATATTATCCAATCGAAATAGATGATGCACGAAAAAATTTGGTTTTTTTTTTCAATCATTTTTTTAATCAAACTCCATATATTTTTTTACGTAATGCCTTGAAAGAAATAAAACAATTTTAGTGACATATATAAAAAAAAAAAAAAAAAAAAAAAAACAAGAACAACCATTAATGCAAGAGATACCGAAAGAATAGAAACAAATTTTGGTCAAAGATAAATACGAAAGAAATAATTTAATCAAAAGCGTTGTAATAAATCACAAGGCAAATTATTAAGAACAAAAATTACACCTTATCGCATATTTTAATTAAAACAATAGTATATTTTTGCAAAAAAGAAAAAAAAGAAAAAGAAAAAGAAAAAAGGAAGAATACTAAAGAAAGGATATAAATCATAATAAATAATAATATTCAAATTAAACGATATTATATTTCATGAAAAATCTCTTAGAAAAATATGATTGAAATGATTTTGGGAAAAAGAAAAAAAAAAAAGAAAAAAAAAAGACAAATAAAAAAAAAAAAGGGATAAAGAACAAATTTTTCTACTCCACAAGATACATAAGTCAATGCCTGTAGTCAATAATAATGTTTAAAAGGAAAAGGAAAAAAAAAAAAAAAAGAAAAGAAGAAAAGATTAAAAAATAAAAACAAGCTACAGCTGTGAATAAAATATAGTAATCTAATAATAGATCTAGTTCACATAAGTCGAATAAAAACAATTTTTGGGCAGGAAAATGCACTCAAATTATTGCAGATGAATTTAATATTTTTACAATACTTTTTTTTGTCTATTTTTTTTTTTTTTTTTTTTTCTTTCAAAATATTATATCTTTTTAGAAAATATCTCTCGCTGTAACTGTTACGTTTATTTTGCACACAATGTTTTTGTGTTATCATATAATTAAATAATAATTATCACGATCACATATAAGTTTATGTATTATGAAAAAGAAAAAAAAAACAAAAAAAATGAAATTAAGTTTAAAGAATGTGAAATGAAAAAAAATGGTGCGCACAAAAGTACAGGTATTTCTATTAAGAAGAGATAATATTCTTCTTCTCAATGAATACGATTATTAAAAAAAAATGCGTAATTACTCCTGTGAAGTCAATGTTAAATAGAATTACATATATACTTATATATACATATATAAATATATATATATATATATATTATATTATATTTAATTGTATTTTAATCGTAGAATTGAAACGTTTTAAATAAGATACAATCTCTATATACTAGTATTTTATCTTCAATTTTTTCGTTAAATATTATCTTTCTGTATAAATTCCCTCGTACATGCTTATTGATGCATGGTATATGACTCCTATATGGGTCGGTGGGTCGGTGGGTCGTTCATACGGGGCCTTTATTATTGACAACCCGTATATGGGTCGTTTATAACGAAAGGATTAATATAGGATTATACATATTTTTTTTTTTGGTATTGCGCAAAATTTTTCTTTTTTTTTTTGTTCTGGTTCATTGATGGATGAATATTTGTATTTGTGTAAATTTATAAAGTATATATATATATATTTATTTATTTAAAAGAAAAAAAAATAATATTTAAACAGATGAGATAATTGCAAAGATTAAACTATGCTAACACGTGTGATAATTATAATTAAATAATAAAAATTAGCGATATTCATTTTTTAAAAAATACTTTGAAAAATTCGTACGATAATTATGTTTCAGTTTGAAATGTGTTTAAGTAAATATATATTGAATTTAATTTAAGATGTACCTCACAAATTAACAATACCTACTAAATAATAATAATAATAATAATATCAATGTTAAGTATATTAATATAATAATATAAATATAAATATAAATAATCAGGAAGAAGGATAATTTTATAAGATTTTTATAAAATTATCCTTTCGATCATTGCATTCGAAGAAAACAAGAAAGAAAAAAAAAAAAAACCTCTACCTTGAATTTGACAAAACGATATTAAAATAATTAATAATAATAAATGTAAGTTAATGTTGAAAGTAAGATGAAAAAGTTCGCTTTCTTAGAATAGTTTTAAAGAAAACGAAAAAAAAAAAATAATAATAATAATAATAATAAAAAATAGGTAAACGTAGCTTACTGTGAATGTGATTGCTTATTGTGCTACGCACAAATCCTAATTGTATGATTAGTGGTTGATATATATATAAAAAAAAAAAAAAAAAAAAAATGAAAAAAAAAGAAACATGAAACAGTATAATAATTAAATAAAAAAAAAAAAAAACATACACGATAAACACAATGCTGCAAACGTAAAACTATGTAATATTATCAAATGGAATATTGTCTATATCGAAAATTCAAAAAAATGTCAAAAATGATGACAAAATAATGTTTATATGTTGAATATGTAACTTTGGCTATAATATAGGTACACAAATACATACATATATACATACACACATACATAAAAAAAGTTAACAAGTTATATGTTGCTGTGATTGATAAATAGTATTAAAATTAGACAGTGTTGTACTGTTAGATCATAATTAGGATTAAACCAAGTCGCATATGTCAATCGTCATTTATATATATATATATATA